AAAATCTGTAAAATGATTGCCATTATCCAATAGGATTTTGGATGCATCCAAAATCATTCTCATGAGCTATAAATTGGCTAATTTGTCTAGGGATTGGTTTTGGATGCATCCAAAACATTTTCATTAGCGCTAAAATCGGTAAATTGATTTCCATTTTCCTTAGCTGAAGCTATCTTAACCAAAACGATTGTAAATTATAGCATATTCGTATACCATAGATTCCTTGTATATTATTGCATTTATTGTATATAATGTATCTTAATAAAGCGGGTGAATAATAATCTGTTGTCAAGTCAAAGTGTATATTCACTGTTTTAGTTTTTTTATGTTATGTTAGGTGGTTTTCGATATATTCAAAAACGAGTGCTGTTGAACGCATTCAAAACCACTTCTCCAATTACTCGGACCATTTGGATATAATAGAAAATTACTGTGGAGCATTCATAATTTTTGTAATTGCATTGGATCTATCCCATTTGGACTAGCCTGCGAACAGGCTCACTGGCAGAAAGGTGAGCCTGCACGGAACCATGCGTTTTATTCATTCATCCCCTTTTCGCATCTGCTAAACGCTAACCAATCAGCGTCGACTGCGATAAATAAACTGTCAACTGTCAAATTGACGCAAGGCGTGTACATTGTGCAACATGAACAATAATAATACAAAGCATTAGCGGGCCGCACAATATATTACTCGGAAAATATAGAATTCTTCAAATATTAAATAGATATCAATACACATACAAATATAAAGCCGAATAAACTACCATTGGCTTTGAATGTACAGTAATACTTGTACTATGTGCGACTGAAAGAACAATGTTCTGAATATTTTGAAGCTATTACTAAAATACGGTCAGATAGATTGGGATTTGGAATACCGAATACGTTTAAAATTTTACTAACTGTGGTCTAAATAAATGATAAATGAGCATGTATTTATTAATTTCTTCGAAATCACGAGTGTGCCAATAGTGGAAGCCGTATCGACGACGAAATTGTCAGCAGTTAATATACAGTAAACAGTACGTTTAATGTACGATATATATTTATCTAAATGACATGCCAGCGAGGATCGACAATATAATTATTCGTACATATTTGGGTATCTTTTGTATGCCTTCGCTTGCTGACTTGCTCACTAATGAGAATAATCCGTGAAGCCACGACGACCTCAAAATGTACTATACTATGGTCTGATGTCAATCCGAAGACGAAGTTCAGAATACTGTTATAGTTTCATATATTGGATTTAAGCGATAGATTCAAGTCATTTATGATAGACTTTTTTGCTGTGATGCTTTGCTATTGCTTTTGGTTTCCATTTCTAGTTTTATTTGTTCGATAGTCCTATAATATATAATATTAAAATGAATAAAGTTCAAATTCTTCAAAATGCTGTTGTTGACATTTGCTATTTTTAGTAATTTTGTCAACGAGTGTAAGCCAATCAGAAGCCTGCGTTTCTATACGAACGCCACTACCAAGAAAACCTATCATCCGTGCAGGCCCTCTATTCTTCGCGCCGCCCGCAACCCAGGGCCTGTTCGCAGGCTACATTTGGACAGATTTGGTCATTCCCTTCCAATAGTTGCAGAATTGATATTTTCCTGGACTATATTTTTAATAAATTAGCTTGATTCTGCAAGACGGAAACAAATTCTGCCCGTTTTTTGACGATATATGAGCTGATCTATGTAGGCATTTATCTAAAAATTAGGCTAAATAGAATGTGCATGCCCTATCGTGGAACGTGTTATATCTCTACATAAGGTAAATCCGTTGGTATATCGGACAAGGTACTCTTCAATACTGGCAACAGAAAGAATCTTCAGTCCGGAAGATTTTTACAGCGAACTGAGCGAAGCGTGCTTTCGTTGCCAAGCCTTGATGTCTACTGAAATCTGATCCAACTTCTCGCTTGACAAATGTAACCCAACACTCGATGATATAGAGGAATACGTGTGATAATAAATACAAAATATTTCAGGATTTCTTGTTGCAAATTTAACTCTTATCGCCTGAAACTATAACACACAAGTTGTAATTTTCCAAGCGCAACAAGCGTATACTCCTTTATACCACCCCTCCATAAGTACAATTTCAATTTAGCGTCCAGAATGTCATGGCAGCCACGTAACCAGAGACTTTCAAAGATTTTTTCTGCCTATTTTCAAAGACTTTTCAAAGACCTTTGAGAGCAATCAGCTGTCGAAAAATTGCGAGTGTAAGCACCATTTTTAACCGGTAATTAGTCCCGCCAAATCACATCATAAAATGCACCTTTTCATCGATATTTGCGAAAATCTTGCTTCAATCAATCTATTTTATTAGCTAGAAAATCGTATTCAGTCAAACACTCACCAAAGAATTTAGAGACTTTTAAAGACTTTCTTCGCTACTTGACACAAGTCAAAGACTTTTCAAAGACCTTAAAGACCTGCATTCAAATTTAAAGACTTTCAAGACTGGTATTGTACTTTATAGTAAATTATTTCATATTTCGTGTATTACAGTAATTTACAACAGGTGCATTATAAACCTTATAAAGACCTTTCATTGCCATTATCCATTCATGTAGGGCTTTACACAGTAAATTTTGAGGTGTAAAAATTACCCCAAATAAAGGGGTGTTACTATTTTTCCACAGAATCCCCCGATTTGGGGGGTAGAAATTGAATGAATTAAAAAGAGGGTAAAAATTACCCTCGAAAAAGGGAGTAAAAATTATGCCTTTATAAAGGTGTAGAATTTTACTACATTTATGGGGTGAAACATTTTACCTCTGTGAAGGGTGTAAAATAAATTTACTCCTTTTTTATGGGTAAAAATATGATTACCCAACAGGAAATATTACTGGGAATAAATTAAAGTATATTAATTAGACAAAGTAACTGAAAAACGTCTTTATTTTAACATATGTTTACTGCCCGGTGAATCAAATGCAATATCACAAGTCTGAATCAGTTACATTTTTCAAGTTCTTTCAAAAATGTTTGAACCGAAATTCGGCTCTGGCCCTTATATATTTGAAGAATAACCCGGCTTAAATATAGCTTCTTTCGACTTGTATAATGCCGCTGTATCATCAATATTTAAATCAACTTTAATCTTTATCGTATACAGTAATAACATTTTAGCAGTTTCACCAAACAATACTAGAGGCAAACAACCTATCTGTTAATGGGAACTTTAAAAGGCTTATTAAAACTTTATATTAAGTAATTCTATGAGCTAGACTTCGTGCGCATATACAGTTTATGTGGAATTATGTATAGCCTATATATCCCTGATAAAACGTATATAGGGACACTTTATATCAGATATAATATAAAAATACTCTGCTAAACCTTTTCGGCTATCATTCCTTTGCATTCAAGGGGCGAGGGTGAATAGCGATAGAATTCATATCGGAGATTCTGTGCAATATTTTGATTTTTGGCTTCAACAATCGTGCAGAAAAGGAAATGCATACAGTTGTGATTTGTCGTATAATTCTTTACTGCATGTCGATCCCAAACCGTACGTTAACAATCCTTCCTACCTGGTGCTTAATATAAACGATGAAACCTTTTTAAAAAAAATCTAGAGCACTATGTCTATAAACCGTTTTAGAATCAATAGAATGAACACTCAATGTCTATTTGGCTAGTGTCCAAATGTGTATTTAACGTTTGCTGTAAGACCAGCAAGGCGCCACGACCTACACAGTCGCTTTTGAGATCTCTATATTTAACAAAATTTATACCGTTCCATATGACAACATTTCAAGGGTATATTATAAGAATATTATAAATATCTGAACCAGATAGAGAAACGTACGCGTGAAATGAAACGGCGCCAGAACCCTGAGACAATAAAAGGGCAAATATTTTCAAGCATATACGAATACGATCATACGTTTTCGTTGCTTGATTTTGTGACTTGTCTGTTGCTATAAGAATCTACAGTTTAGCATGTTTCTATAATTTAAAAGCTAACAGAAACCAAATTAGCAAGTATATTTTGAAGTATATATGATTCTCAAAGACGATTGTACAGAACGGCCACTCCTTGCAATCGAAGCGTGAAGTGCGGAAGTGGAAACATGTAGTATGATACTTTTCCATCCCCCTCTTGGGCTATCAATTTTCTGTGGGTCACGTGACCAGCTCCGACCAGGGTCTTTCCTCAACAAGAGGAAAGAGCCTGGGAATGAGGTTGACACATACCCTATTCTTGCAAGGAGTTTTGCGAGTTTCACACTTGCAGCTGGCAGAACGCATTTGCCTTACGCGGGCAACCTCGGTTACTGTTCTCTTTTCTTTGAACTTTTACAACTACAATTGTCGACCCGTATGAAATGAAGCAATTGTTTGGTCTTTGCCGCTGCTGAAAATGTAAATATATGCACATTTTTATAGTCGGAATGTTGTGATTCCGATCTTTTCCGACATTTTCCGAAAATCGGTTTGTTATGCGCAGCTCGGATGCGCAGCGGGTGACATTGCCGCTTAAATTACTGCAGTTATAAAGGTCAACTACAATGTGATAAAAATGCAAATAATGAGGACTTGTCAGTTAAATTTTATTTGTATTGATAGAAGATTACATTTTAATATAACCTAAATTCTATATAGGCGTAAGCCATCATGTAATAATAAATAATACCTTGCAGAGATCACCAGCTTCTGAATTATACGTTATGACATAGTGTTTTTTGTAATTAATTAATAAATTGTTTGAGTGCTAACACCTAATTGAGTCTGTTGACGGCCGATAATTATTGAATAGGTGACGTGTAGTTCATGTGCAAGGTTAAGGTCGAAAGATATGCGTTCTCATAATTTTAGTCACGTCTCGACTCACGCATGACACGTACACATGAATTAACACATCCGGTATATAGGACGTATAGGTTATAAATAATTAAAAACAGTATCTCACATAAACCACCTGCACGCAGTGTTTTAATAAACAGTACCAGCAGAAAGGGCCGTGCGTATAAGAAACTCTGAAATATGTCAAATCCGTTTTTCAAAGTAGTCAGGGAAAATCTTATGTTTCTCCTGATACTCCTTGGAGTAATTTTGGGTATTGTACTTGGACTTTTTCTCAATGATAAAGTTCAACATTCAACGGAATTTACCCCACGAGAACTGGCAATGTTTATTGGTTTTCCAGGAGAATTATTTGTGCGAATGTTGATGCTTGTAGTGTTACCTTTGATTGTATCCAGTGTTATAACTTCTCTAACAATGATTGACAGAAATGCTGCAGCAAAAATTGGGAAACGTGCCGCGGTTTACTTTTTGGTTAATTCTCTAATCGCAACCAGCTTGGCTGTTGTTTTAGGAGGAGTTATGATAAAACCACGAGCTCATGAAGTCCAAGAAGAAGACATGAATCCAAAGACAGGATCCAGTCCTATCTACGCCATACTGGATATGTTAAGGTAACTATTACCAAAGTTTTTAAATATTAAAACTCTTTTGCATCACAAGCCAGTCGCGTCAACCTCTAGAGGATGACGGCTAGAAATTTCATATCTTCGGTTCAGTGCATACTATGAAGACAAAAATACCACCATTCGATTCAGAAATAAAAGATTCAACTAATTCCTCCCTATAGTTATAGTCATTATTAACATTGTAGCGATTTATGGGCCTTTGAAAGTCAAACACGATCATATTGTATCAAATTACGCAATTGTCTGAACAAAAATATAGACTAGCCCTTCGAACATATCGTCTTTGTAATAGTCTTGCGCCATCAAAAACACTATTTAGGGCCTGTTTATATGGAAGCCGGGCTGGCCCGCTTAGCGAGACAGCCCGGTAAGCGGGATGAATTTCTCTATATGAGAAAATTTCATCCCGCTTGCCGGGACAATTTTGTCACATTGATATTGTTTTGACAGTTGTTAAAAATAGGTATGCAGTGCGTACATGTTGCATGCCTTAGAAACGTTCAGGTTATTTCAATATATTTCATGTTATTTACAGAATGTGATGTAATTTTGCACACAATATAATCAGTGCTAGCACAGCGGCTTCTTTTCAATTTGAGAATTGAGCATATAAACCATATAAAAATTAGTATTTTGATAGCGTAGCGGTTTATATATCGTGTGAAAGGCAACGGCGTAGCCTTTCACACGATATATAATATTAAACGCCTGATAATTGATAAATAATCAGTGCGAGCACAATGGCACCAAAATAACAACAAATAACAGAATATAAGGTACATTAAAGCTTTACCTACCTCGATCTATTCTTCTAAGGCGCTAAATTACGTAAATTTTCGACGAAAAATCAATATTTTCTTTCCGTTTCCTCAACGAAAGCCGTGCACAAAAGCGTGCGTAACAATCTCGTTCCCAGAGTATGCCTGTTCGCGGGTTAGGTCATGCCACAACCTAACCCGCGAACAGGCATACTCTGGGAACGAGATTGCGTGCGTAATAAAGTATTCACATACTTGAAAATGCTCGTCTGAAAAAGTCTGTATTTGTCGTATTTTACTAATCTGTCACGTTATTTACCACCGCCGTTATAACGCGACACGAAATTTAGAGCTATATGAAAGTTGCCTGCCCATATATGGGCATGCAACAAAAATAGCTTGCGGCGGTACCTTTGAACTTCATCCCGGCAACCGGGCTAGCCCGCTTGTGAGTGTTTATATGGAGAAATTTTCATCCCGGAAGCGGGCCAGCCCGGCTTCCATATAAACAGGTCATAAGAGTGTTATTTGCAAGCCTGTATCTTCAAATCTGTATCTTTTATCAATATATTTCCATTTCTTGTCCGACTGTGAGCTCCAAGTGAGTTAATCCCAACCGGAAATACGACCGAAAACCGTCAAAACAATGCGACGTTTGTATCGTATGACCCTGCAAAGGACAGAAATGGTTCGCAAGGTCAAATTGCACCTACACGCGTGAATTTGACGGGGGTTTTTCGCGCGTTTTTTTTTATTCCACCTCAAATAACGGGTTAGGTTAAAACGCGGAAGCGGATGCGGAACGGAACGGATATGGGGTTAAAATGCGGAACGGAACGGATATGCGGAACGGAACGGAACGGATATTGTGTTAAAATGCGGAACGGAACGGATATGCGGAACGGAACGGATATGGGGTTAAAATGCGGAACGGAACGGATATGCGGAACGGAACGGATATGGGGTTAAAATGCGGAACGGAACGAAAATGCGGAACGGAACGGAACGGATATGGGGTTAAAATGCGGAACGGAACGGATATGGGGTTAAAATGCGAAACGGAACGGATATGGGGTTAAAATCCATCTGGTGGACAGGAAATCTGATTGGTTGATCAGCATCATGAAAGATTTTGATGGGTTGCAAGTTCATATAAACAATGGCTTTAAAAATAGCTCTGTCAAAGCGACAATTAAGCCGGTTAAAGACGAGCAAGTTTTCTTTAAGAATCTTTAAAACCTGGAATGAGAAAGCCGGAATCTTTAAAACCCGGAATTATTACTGTAATTCTGTAATAATTTATTAATTTAATAAAGCCAAGTTTTGGCGGGATTCCTAAACTCCTTTGCGCGTCGTGTCAGATCCTCGAACAAACAAGTAAGCAGTAAAGTAAAGAACCTCAAAAAATTTTGTGCAAGACTGATATTCTATTATTCTGGAGGAAACACAGTGGGTTAGTTTTTATAGCGAATACTATTATCAATACTGTTGAATTGAAGCTCGATTTTTGATATACGTCTGGCAGTACCACATCATTTTCAAAATACTAGGCCGTTTCAATTTTAATAAGCTTTCCACCTGTGTCTGTCACTATAAAATGTTTTTAACTACATATTATGAAAGCTTCAAATGCGTGTGCTTACATGCGCAGCAAGGCGAGACTTTTGAACTTTTGAAAATAGCTTTTGAATTTCCGTGGCATGACAAAAGTTTGTTGCGAACTTTTTCTCAGCGAATTTTCTACTAACCTGCAAATAAAAATTCCACTAAAATGTAGGCATTTTCACAAGCTTTCAAAACATCCACGTTAGGGGTGTATGTCGTTAAATTTCGAATTAATATAAGCGATTGAAACTAGTCGTGCCTAAAATCAGACATAATATATATTCCGATTTCCAACTAGAATGTATATTCCGACGGCAATTTTTAAATATAAGCGATTGAAACTCGTGGCTAAAACCAGACATAATATATATTCCGATTTCCGACTAGAATGTATATTCCGACGGCAATTTTTACACCCTCGTTTAGGCAACGAATTATCGCGCTCAATATTCTAGCTATACAATGTTATATCAACACCGCGGAAAAACGTCTGCGCATGCGTCAACCTTACCTGTAATAGTATTGCAAACTTGATGAGAAGCTGTTCCGAACGTTTCCGAAGGCTCAAAATGGCGGTAAAAAGGAGTGACTTCATTGGGCATCTTTACAGCCAGATTTCGAGCGCAAAAATAAACATGACATTCTAAAAACTAGGAATAAATACAGCCAGAAGGTTCAAGAAATTGTATTGTACAAGAACATGAACTAAAGGTGATTGTTGACAAATTTATCGTCTGAAACATTTTGTTTATCAACTAAGCAACGACAATTTCCGAATTTTCGTTTGAGATACATTTCTTTAAAAAAAACTGTGTCGCCAAATATAAAAAATTTTCGTGTTCACAATAATTAAACTTTAGGATTTATTCTACAATTTGAGTGGGTTAAGAAGCTTAACTTTTCGAGAGTTTTCTTAACTTTTGAGTTTGAATTTTTGTTTTGAATAATTTTGCAAAAATTTTCGAAGTCGTGTCCGTTAAAATCAACAATTTTTTACATGAATTATATTTCATTCCATACTTTAAATGCCAGGACGCTTTCAATTAATGTCTAGTCTACTCATTTGCTATATTTTCTCGTTTGTTTTACTAATTTTTGACCAATTAATAAGCATGTTTTTGTTTTAGAAATTGATATTCAAATTCCCCGCCATATTTTCATAATTTGGTGCATGCGCAGACGTTTTTCCGCGGTGTTAGATCTGACACGTTTTCTGTCGCGCATGTGCACAAATTGCCATGACAACGAGTGATGTTCACCACGTGATATCAAACCAGTTTTTGCGGGAGCAACTTACTTGGTAATTCAAAGACTTATCGTAGTTTGAAGGCAAACAAATGTATCTCGGCCCGACAAAACAGAAAAGATTGCTTTCTTTTGTTCTTCTGTCACTGCTTTCACAGTTTCATCTTTGAAAATATCAATTACAGAACTTAAAGCACTTTCAAACAACATGAAAAACCTCGAAATGTCCACGCTGTGCAAGCCCCCATTTTGACACTACGGGCTCAATTTCATTACAGCGTAATTCAGCTCTGAGCATGCGTACTATTTGTTTCTCTAAACCGGTTTCAGAACTTGCTTTACAAACTGGTTTGACTCGTCCACGATCATGGACTGAGGAAGTGTCAGATCTAGGCAGAGGTCTCTTCTCCTTCGCTTTCCTGCACAAATAGAGACCTCTGTCAGCAGGGAAAGTTTTATATTGTGTCAATGCTATTAAAAGTATTTAGTGCTAAAAGTGTTTATAATATATATGAAGATTAATATATTAATATTGCTTTCACTAGTAAGAATAAAGTACATAATAAGGAGAAAAGTTGGAGAGCTATAAAGACATAATCTGTTAATTACATGAATATGAATTCGACTTCTTTGTTTAAATATAAGTTCACTAGATTGTATTGACTATTGTCTACTGTTCATAAAATGTATTTTCGATTTTTTTTTAAAGATTGGTAGTGATCGATGTTATTTTTGTCAAGCTAACATCAAGATTATTCCGAACAACCACTCCTTTCACTGAGAGTGAGTGCTTAGTATATAAAGAAGTTCGATGGTAATGCATATGAAGTTTTGACAAGTTTCAGGTTTCAGGTACAATGTGATAGCCTACTATATTGTGAGCAGACGTGCTTTGTTGAGCTCTCTAAAATTTCAAAATTTTTGTAATACAATCCAATACAACACACTTGAATGGATGAAAAATTATATGAAAGACTATCCTGACGATTATTAGCGATTGAAAGTTGTTTATTCATTTGTACAATGAACAATATGGCAACCAGCTTAAGTGATAAGCTATGCATTGCATGGTCAGGTACTTATGAGTCTCTAAAACAGTTTGTAAGTGAAGATTTACAACTCAAAGGAACTTGGGAACAGCCTGGAGGTGATAGGAAGTTGTTTAGTTGTGATACATCAACTATACTATGGAGAAAGAATAAGGGATTGCTTTCCATCAATGGAGAAAATGCGAACGAAATCATGAGAGAGTTATGTAAACGGATGTGTAATTATCATGCAAATAATTCACAAGTATTTGCCTCAGCCCACACTCAACTATCAAATGAATTATGTGATGATGTGCATACGGATATTGAAGATCTAAAACTGGGTCAACAAA